TCATTAGCCATTAGGGAAATACAAACTAAAATCCTAAGATCCCTCTGCACATCCACTAGGATGGCCATAATTTTTTTAAAAGATAATAACAAGTGTTGATGAGAATTTGGGGAAATTGGAACTGTCATGTGCTCCTGGTGGGGATATAGAGTGAAGCAGTCACTTTGGAAAGCAGTGTGGGCGCTTCTCAGTGTTCAACATAGAGTTTGCACACGACCCAGCAATTCCGATCTTAGGTATGTACCTAGGAGATGTGAAAACATATTCACACAGCAATGTGTACACAGCGTTTACAGGAGTGTTACTCATAAGAGTCCCAAAGTGGGAACAATTTGTATGTTTATTAGCTAATGAACAGATAAATAAAATGTGGTAGACACATAAAGAGAAATATTATTCGGCAATGAAAAGAAATAAAGTATTGATACATGCTACAACCTTAAGCAAAGTGGAAGAAGCCAGTCATAATGGCTGCAAGGTTCTTCTGGGATTGATGAAATGTTCTAAAGCTGGTAGTGGTGGTGATTGCCAAAAACATTGCGAATATAATAAAGCCATTGATCAGCACACTTTATATATATATATATATATATATATATATATATATATATATATATATATATATATAATTTTTTTTTTGGTACAGGGGATTGGACCCAGGGTCCACTGAGCCACATCCCCAGCCCTTTTTATATTTTATTTAGAGACACAGGGTCTTGCTAAATTGCGTGGGGCCTTGCCAAGTGGCTGAGGCTGACCGAATTTGCCATCCTCCTGCCTCAGCTTCCTGGGTCTCTGGTTTACAGGTGTGTGCCACCACCCCTGGCTGAATTGCATGCTTTGAAGAGATGAATCACAGGCAGGATAACAGTCCCACAGAGCTGTCGATCTACATCCTAATTCCCAGAACCCTGACCGTGTTACGTTCCATGGCAAAAAGAATCCATTGTGCAGATGGAACGAAAGATGCTTATCAGCTGTTTTTAAACCAGAGAGGTTTCCTGCGTGGTCTGGGGAGACCCAGTGTAATCCCAAGGGACTTGAAAGGAGAAGACAGAATCGGAGGAAAGAATGAGAGAGATGGCATCATGGGAAGGACTCGGCCTGACGTTGCTCGCTTCCAAGTGCAGGAAGGGCACCCCGCGCCAAAGAGGACATAGGAGTCTCCAGAAACCTGAAAAGGCAAAGAGACAGATCAAGGCCAGCACCAGATCTCGGCTCAGTGAGCTGTGTCCCACTTCTGACCTGCAGAACTATGAGACAATTCTGGTGAAAAGATTGGAAATGCTGTTGGGTGGGGAGCCACCCAGGGGCCCGGGAGTGATCAGCCTGGAGAAAGGTCACCCCTCAACATTTTGTCGTGAGCTCTGCATGTTTCCCGCTGTTGTCCTCCGGGAAGGGGAAAACCACGTCCGTCTGTCTCTGTTGCTGTTGTGTCTCCAGACCCCGGCCCAGGTAGACCATCCTGGCCTGCTTCCTGGGGAAATACATCATGCACACATGTGCGGACATTTTAATTTACAGAAGCAGGATCCCACTGTACACATTGTTTTATAACCCACTCCCCCCCATTACTAATATATTATGAGCTTCTTTCCAGTTCAATAAATACACATTTACATCAGGGATGTTAATAGATACTGCCAGACTGCAAATAGAATTCAGGGGGTCTGTGATCTCGAATGGGAAAAAAAATTATATTCTTATTTTCACTAACCTCTAACTGAAATCTCTCATTTCCTTTGATATGACTGTAGGCAACAAGCCGCAGCAGCATTAGCAGTATTTGTGACTTCACTGGCTTTCGCGATCCTAGATAGTTTCCTATCAAATCACCATTGTCACCGATTTCTTGAAATATTGTTTATGCTCATCGCTGACTTGAAATTACACTGGTTCCCACACCCACTGCTAGATCTTGTTAGTGAATATGTTAATAAAGAAGCAGGTAGATGACTCGCTCAGAAATTTTAAACTCTGTGTGTGTGTGTGTGTGTGTGTGTGTACACACGTGCTGGGGAATTAAACCTAGAGTCTCACACATGCTAATCGCTGAGCCACTCCTTACAATATTTTGAAAGCTGTACATTAAGTTAATTACTCTTCTCAGAGGTCTCACACATATTTCTTTCATGTGTTGAAAACCATTATTCTGGGCTGGGCATGTAGCACAGTGGTAGAGCACTCGCCTAGCATGCACGAGGCTCTGGGTTCAATCCCCAGTACTGCCGACAAATCAAATAAATAAAAAATTAAAAATAAATCAATAAACCATTCTTCTGAGAAAGTCTCATCTGAAAGTTCCCCAGCACAGCAGAGTTTAAGAACCACTGATCTAGTGGGGCAAAGTGACGCACGCCTGTAATCCCAACAGCTTGGGAGGCTGAGGCAGGAGGATGGTGAGTTCAAAGCCAGCCTCAGCAAGGGTGAGGCACTAAGCGACTCAGTGAGACCCTGTCTCTAAATAAAATACAAAACAGGGCTGGGGATGGGGCTCCGTGGTCAAGTGCCCCTGAGTTCAATCCTTGGTACAAAAAATAAATAAATAAATAAATAAATAAATAAATAAAAATAAAACGCAAACCAACCCTGATCTATACCACCATTTTTTTTTTACTTTTTATTTTTAAATAATCTTAAGTTTAAAGAACTGCAAAATGTAGGACAGAGAGTCCCAAGTCTTCGTACCCAGCTCCTCCTAATGCCAACATGGCGCCTGACCACAGAGTAACTACTGAAGCAGGCAGTTCACAGGGTGCAGATATGTCAAGTCGTCCTTAGCTCTAACTCAGACTGCGTTTGTTTTTCCGCCACTATCCTTTTGCTTCCGGGAGCCCGTGTGGGATCCTACGTGGCCGTCCCTGACCGTCCCGTCTCCTCCAATCTCTGGTGATTCCTCAGACTTTTCCTTCATGAGTTTGACACTAGTGAAAGGTCCTGGTCCCTTAGTTTGCAGACCGTCCATCGGTGTGACTTTGCCTGCTGTTTCCTCACAGTAAGATCAAGGTTGCGCGTTTGGGGCAAGAACAGCACGAGGACTGGCGCTGGGTATCGGGTCAGGGGTGCGTGGTGTCACCCTGTCCTACTCCAGGGCTCGGTGCTGCGGTGTCTTGGAGCCGTGACAGACAACATCCAGCGAGCAGAGAAGCACCGGGTGAAGGGCACCAGCAGCAGCCCCGGGAGAGTGGGCAGTGAGCCTCCCGTCCCTGGAGGAGGTAATGGTGGAGGGGCACCAGGTGCTGCTCCTGTCTCCCCCTAACAAAAGGCCCAGGGGCAATAGTGAAGGACACCCCACCGCCCCCTCCCAGGCACCCCGTCTGCAAGGCGAGGCCTCCGCCCACCCGGCTGGGGGTGGGAAGCGCCCCAGGACAGTCTGGTTAGTATTCTGGGCTCCCCGCTCTGCTGCCGGCTAATTGCCCCTAAGAGCCGAGCTCACTGGAGGGGAAAATGCAAGATGGCCTAACCTTTCTGGGCTCCGCCAGCTCCGCCAGCTGCCGGCTCCCGATGAGAGGTCTGCACGGCCGTTGGCTGGCTCGACCTCTTCTCCCTGCAGCAACTGCTAAAGGCGCCGGGTAGCTCTGGGCCCCGGGGCCGGCTGAGCCATCGACCATCTCAGCAAGGCTGGGAGGGGGGCACAGGAGCCAGCCCCCAGCCTTCTGGCTGCCCGGTCCCTAAAATGCACAAGGTTCTGGCATTTGGAACAACCATTCTAACAAGGCCAGTCACACGTCCACTCGGTGACCTGACCATTCCCACTCAAGGGACAGAAGGGCCTGCGACCACCCAACGGCAGTTAGTGGGAGCTTTACTGGCCGTAGCTGGGACTGGAAGCAGCCCTGCTCCAGGGAGCACGCGATGACCCTCCAGATGGTGTCAGTGAGAGGAGGAGGAGGCAAGAGGGCACCCAGGTGGACCCAGCTGTGACGAGTTCAAAACCAGCCCATGTCCAGCTGGGGCCACAGAAGTGAGGACGATGACAGCTCTCCCGGGGAAGGGGATGGTGCTTCCTGGAGAGGTCCATTAGGAGGGCTCCTGAGCTGGGCGCTGGGGCAGCATCTGTGATCCCAGTGACTCGGGAGGCCGAGGCAGGAGGATCTCGAGTTCAAAGCCAGCCTCAGCAATGGCCAAGCCCTAAGCGACTCAGTGAGACCCTGTGTCTAAATAAAATAAAAAATAGGGCTGGGGATGGGGCTCAGTGGTGGAGAGCCCCTAAGTTCAATTCCTGGTACAAAAAAAAAAAGGGCAGACTCCTAAGATTGCGCCCTCCCCGCCCTAGGGGAGGGTCCTGGGGGTGGCCTCAGTCAAAACACATGTCCACTCCGCAGGTTTTATGCTGAGCTCTGATTCAGCAATGGCCACCACGGAGACGGGCGAGAACCAAAGGCAGGCTCCGTGGCCTTGGGAGGTGGGAGGAGGAGGTGACAGCTCCCAGCTCAGCCAGGATTGCCCTGGGCAAGGAGATCAGCAGGACTAAGCACGCACGTTGGTTGGTTGGGGAGGGCTGACGTCACCGCCGCCCCTGCCAAGTTACTTTGAGGAGTAAATGAGAAGACCTGTGAGAAGCCAGGTCTCAGCTGGAAGCTGACGCTCGTGGAAGGACCCTGCCACCGTGAGCTGAGCCCACGCCGGGCCGGGCACTAGCCGCAGGCTAGACCAGCCTGGGCCTGGCAGGGAGCATCTCGGGGAGACTCTGAGAGCTTCCAGTCTAGAAAGAGCATGATCTGACTTGCGTTCTTAAAAGCTGACTTCAGTAATCAGCTGCACCCCGAAAATCACGGTCTGGGTGGTCACTGACCGAGATGCCAAACCTTGCCCAGGTATGAGGGTGTCTGAGGGTGGAGAAGGAGGGACTGCGGCCCCGGGGGGACTGGGGGTGCCCCAGATGGGGGTCCCGGTGGGCACACCTCGCTGTGGAGGCCACCCATGGACACGGGCATGTCCGCGTTTGCGCCCCTGACGTCAGCAGAGAAGCAAAGAAGATGGATATCGGTCGACACCTTGGGTGGCGCATCATTTTTAAGGTAGGATTTTCCGAGATCTGATTTCCACCCGGTCACACTCACCTTTTCAGAGCATGCAGCTGAGCCAGTCCGGAAAGACACACGGACCCGGGTTCCCACCACAACACTCAAGATACGCGACACTTCGCCCCCCAAAATCTCCCTGTACCCCTCTGCAGTGAGCCCTGTCCCCTAACCCCAGCTCCTGGCACCCACTGGTTTGATCTCTAGACCTGCCTATTGCTTGGCCTTTTTCAGTGTCATGGGATGGAATCATCCAGCATTCAGCCTCTTGGGGTCCCCTTGATTCACTTAGAAGAATGTTTTTGAGGCTCATCCATGCTTTCGGGGATGTTTGGTTCTTTTCACTGCCGAGTAGTATTCCGATGTAGGGACTATGACAAATAACTCTCCAGTTGCTGGGGACACGGTGTGTGTCCCTGTAGAGGGCCAGGTGGCTGGGGGCTGCCTCCAGGAGGATGTGCGTGTAGGCCAGCATGTCTGCCGCCCCGGGCTGCAGGTCCTCCCTCTTGTCGTATCTGGGGAAGAAGATCGGGCCATCCCCATGTACACCCATCCCCACCTGCGCCACTTGACAGCCCTCCCCACAGCCCTGGGTGCCCCATGGGGACCTGGAGGTGGCCTCAAAGAGGAGCGCTTCCAGAATCATACCTCCAAGCACTGTTGACTTCCAGTTTGGCACAATCACAGAGCAAGCTGCCGTGTGCCTTTGCATCCCGGTCTTTGGTTGGACGTCTGTTCCCCACAGTATCATCAGGAGCACCGCCGCCCTGGTTTAGGGAGCAGGTGACGGTGCTTAAGCTCCATCAGATGGACGAGGAAGTCGGGCTTAGAGAGCCCACGGCTTGCCCAGGGCCCTGCAGGGGGGTGACACACTGGGACCCCGGGTCCCCAGGCCCCCGGGGAAGCTCGGTTCCAAGGCTGCTCTGGGGCTGCTCTGGGGCTGTTCTTAGGAGCGGGGCCTGTCGCTGGGCACCAGCTGTCCCAGAGTGACACTGCGCAGGTCCCAGACTGAGAATGGGGACGGTGACTGGGAAGGCAGTGGCTCCTTCAAGTCAGGAAATAATGGAAGAAAGAGCCAGAACCCGCCAGCGACAAGTGAGATATTAATTCACCTGGAGCCGCCGTTCCCCTCTGCGCCCCCGTCCCTGGGTCCCCGGCAGGTTTCCAAATTAAAGTGCCGAAGGGCCCTGTCCCCTGTGACCCGGTGCCAGGCCTGGGCGGGCTGGGCGCTCGGGCCAGACAAGTGTCTGGAACCTGCAAACCGGTACCCTCCGCCCAGCCCTGCCCCAGGCCGCCGGGAGGTGACAGCCAGCCCGAAGGCCGGCCCCTGCAGGCCGCGGGGAGAGGGAGGTTAATGAGGTTTGTGTGAACCCGCGGATTCCATTTTGAGAGGGAAAAGGCTCGGAGCTGCGCTAATTAAAGGGAACTGACCTGTAAAATGAGTCTGGGGATGGACAGCGGCAGGAAGGCCAGCTGGGGAGGAGGAAGGGAGGAGAGGTGGCCCCAGCAGCTCCGCCAAGTCATTCCAGGCTGGTGGTGAGACTAGGCCCAGAGACTGGAAGGGGTTTGCCCCAGGACACACAGCAAATCAGATTAGACCTGAATGCAGAAAGTCGGGGGCAGGGAATGGAGGGAAAACATCTGACAGGGAGATGGACAGACAGACAGACAGATGGCGTGTTCAACACTAAGGTCAACGTTTACCGAAGGTCTTCTCCATCACAGATGCCGTGCTCTGGGCCTGCCGCCCTATGCCTCAGTTAGCCCTTGGGACCCTGGGAAGTAGGAACTTGTACCCCCCATGTGGGAAAACTGAGGTCCAGAGAGGTTAAGTGATTTGCCCAAGGGCACACAGTTAGGCAGGTCTACCTGACCCCATGCTTGGGGGCATCACCATCCCTATGCTGGGGTGACTCTGGGTCCCATTTTACACCTATTGTCCTTGTGTAAATATAAGTAGTGCCCCTTTCACTGTCCCAGATATTTTAGTTTAGGCAAAGTTTATATGACTACCCTACCTGGGCTCAACCTATACATTGCTTCCTGTGTGACATGACCGGCCCAGGATCCAACACGTAGTAGGAGCTCAACAAATGGCCCAAGCTGGACACAGATACCATTCTGTAGTGTCCCAGAACCAAGGCACAGTGGCAAGGGATTTGCCAAACCTGGGCCCAACTCCAGCTGTGTGACCTTGGATGAGTCACTTGACCTCTCTGGGCCTTAGTTTGCTCATCTGTAAAGCAAACTGAGCTACACCACAGCTACATCCCTGGACTGTGAGGATTGTGTAAGAGACAGGTATAAAGTGTAGCCCAGGTTTGCTGTGATGACCTGGCAGACACAGGGTGTAAGCCTTTTTGCTAGACTCTGGGGATTCCTATAGCATGGACCAGGGTTGTGTTTGCCTGTGCTAAACCTGCTTACACACCTTTCTTCATAACTTGCCTTGCAATTCCCTGCCCCAGGGCCTTTGTACGTCAGGGTTTTAAACTGCGTGTTCCTGGCACTATTTGAAGCGTATTACATTTATGAAAACCCATTTGTTTTTTCCTCACAATGACCTTGTGTTGATAAGGTCAGGAAACCGAGGCCCAGAAAGGTTAGTTAACTTGTCCAACATCACACAGCTGGCTAGTGGCAGAACTGAGATTTGAACACAATCAGCCTGGCTAAGGCCCTGCTCTCTCCAGGGGCCCCCTCTGTGCTGAGGGGGCTCCCTACTCCCCCACTGACCACTTCTGCCTCTGCCCAGCAACTCCTAGCCACACCCCCTGCTGGAACAGCACCTCCTCCAGCACCCAGCCCGCGGCCACCCTGCTGAGGAGCAGTCACTCCGCCCACCGTCCACACCTGGAGCCCACCTGGCTCCTCTCTCCTCCCACCACAGGCACCGCGGGCAAGGGCTGCTCTCTCCCCAGCTTTGCGATGCTGCCAGACATGTATGCAGCAGGAGCTCCATAAATGTTTGCTGGGGAAAAGAAGCAATGGGGGGGCAGCCCTCAGGACAGGAGTCATAGCTGACGGACCGTGCTTTATTGTCCAGGAGCCTGGCCCTGGTCGCCTGGCCGTGGTCTCAGCTCTCGGGCCCTGGGCTGGGGACAGCCAGGTCTGGGCCCCACCAGTGCCGGCTTGGGCCAGGTAGGAGCCCGCTTCTGTGGCCACTGCCGTCCTTGCGGGCCACGCTGCCTCCCCGGCCTCCTCCCCTCCTCTTTTCCTTTCTGAGATGAAGCAGAGAAATGATTTTTCTACTTGAGCAGTTTTCAATTTAGATTAAGAAAAATGTGGTCTGCAGTCGCTCTGCAAGAGCCCAGCTGCCGGGCCCTTCCGGGACTCGGTGTGCTCAGCCGTTGACGGAGCCAAAGTGCATGTGGAATGAGGGGCTCTGAGGGGTCCCCCACCCTCGACCCATCCCCCCTCGTCCCCCCATCCCCCCTCATCCCCCCATCCCCCGCCATCCCCATCAGTCAGGGCCCCGGGTCTGGAATCAGACAGCCGGTGGCACCAGGCTGCAGCTCCTGCAAACTGTGTGACTTTAGGCAGGCCCCGTCCCTCTCTGAGCTTCCTGTGTGAAGCTTCATCTCGGCTCTCTCGCTTCATCTATAAAGTAAAAGAAATAGGGCCCAACTGCAGTGTGCACGACTGTGATCCCAGTGGCTCGGGAGGCTGAGGCAGGAGGATGGCAAGTTTGAGGCCAGCCTCAGCAATTTAGCGAGGACCAAAGCAACTTAGTGAGACCCTCTCTCAAATTAAAAAAAAAAAAAGTCAGGGGATGTGGCTCCGTGCTCATGCACCTCTGGGTCCAATCCCTGGTACCAAAACAACAAGCAAATAAGGAAATAAATAAATAGAACCTGTCTCTGCTCCGATCAAAGAGCCCATCCCAGCCCCACAGACTGGGAGAATGACCCGCAAGGACAGCCCGGGGAGGTTGGCCAGGCACAGCGAGGCGGGCAGAGCCTCAGAAGCCCCAGGGCCACAGCAGGAAGGAGGGTCAGGCAGAGGGCAAAGGAGGCTGATCACACAAGAGTGGGTAGCGGTGTCCAGGTGGCCCTCAGGGGCCAGAGGTCAACTAAAGCAAAGCCAAGGCCATCTCTGTGGGTCAGGGGACAGGGGAGAAGGAGGCAGAATGCTGGGCCCCTAAAGTCCTTTCTAACTCTGGACCTTTTGTTATTATCATTATTATTATTATTTGCTGGACTAGATGTTTAGCTAATTGACAATGTTGGTTTTCGAACAGGAAGGCAGTTTTGCGTATAGATAAAGAAAGTGCACATATCAATCATAGTTCACGGCACAGATTCTAGGGTCGAGCATCACTGGGTCTCATTTCCTCCTCCTCCCCTGTCCCTGTGTGATTTGGGGAAAGTCACTCAACCTCTCTGAGCCTTTCTGAAAAGAATCAGGACTTTCCCGTGGCTCTGTTTCTGTTTTATTTAAATTGCCTTCATGGAGGTCTGATTGACATGTGGTAAAGGCGCCCATTTTAGGAGCACATCTAATGAGTTCTGAAACATAGACCCCCGGTCACCATCCCCACAATCAAGCAAATGAACGTCTTTGTCATCCTAAACGGTTCCCGTTTGCCCCTCCCCCATCCTCCTATCAATTTTAATAGAAAAGCAGTGGATTCTCCAACCCCCACCACAACCAATCTTGGCCCTGGACGAGGTCCCCGGGAGGGTGTGTGGCACTGACTGTCACTTTGCCACCGGCCCCCATGCCCACGCTCACTCACAGTGCCAGCCTGGCTCACAGGGGTTCCTTGGGTGAGTCAGGAGCCCAGGGTGTAAGGTTGTTCCCCGTGGAACCCGCTGAATGACCAGCCCCCTCTAGGGACGACAATTCCGGTGGTGGCTGGGATCTCCGGCCACTTGCGGGTGACTCTCTCCTCGGCACCTCCACAAGGCTGTGAGCTGCTCCAGGGAGGGTCTGTGCCTACGGAGTGTAGCCGCCACCATGTCCAGAGTGTCCACAGGGGCCTGGCATACAGTAGGTGCTCAATAAGTGGGCATGGACTGAATGTCTGAGGAGGGGGCTGCCAGCCAGAGGACACCTGGTGAGGTGTGAGGAGTGTCATGCGCCGTCACCTGAGCCCTGCTGTCCCCAACGTCCTACGTGGCCACCGTTACCTGTCCTCTCCGAATGAGCCCAGCTGGCTCTACTTCTCCCTCTGTGTCACCCAAAGCCATCAGACCCGTGGCATCGTGGCCTCCTGCCTTTTCTTCCTGTTGCCAGGCGACTGGACGCTGAAGGCAAGGGCCGCCCGTGGAGCGTGTTCTCGGATCCGAGGTGTGGAGGAGGGAGTCCACGCCATCAGGGTCAGCAGGTGGCGTGAGCGGAAATGAACCCTACGGTGGAGACCTTTGAGATTTGAGGGGTCACTCGTTACCGCAGCGTAACTGTGCTGAAGCTGACAGATAGAAAGGTTTTCACAGCGAAAGATGTTCTCACACCATCTGCAGATGCACAGAGTCTGGGGACATGGCATGGGGCCTGGTGACTGCAGAAGGGACCCCCATTTGATAGTAGGGGAAACTGAGGCACCGAGGGCACAACTTGCCGGGGCCTCCCAGCTGGGGAGGGGGCAGAGACGGCCCAGGTGCGACTGTGGGGGGCTCATCCCAGCAGAGAGGCAGGGGGACGGCGGTCAGAGATGTCTCTCCTTCTCCTTCTGCTCCGGCCACCCCCTGCCCACCCCATTCCTGAAGGTCCTTTTCCGAGTTGAATGTCAGGTGATCCCTCGGAGGAGTCAGCTGCGAACTAAAGGTGTGAACCGCTCACAAAAGTGCGGCGCTCACTAGGGTTTTAGCTGACGCCAATCCACACCTTCCAGGGTGTTGGCATTTTAATGAGGGACATCGGGAGGACCCAGATGACTTCCAGAGCCGAAGCAGCAGAGCTCAAAAGGTGGCAGACTCATTTGGCTTTCAATTCTTCCTGCCCCTACTGTGATCCGGGCCTGAGCTAAGACGCGGAGCTAACGCGCTGCAGATTCGCAGTCGGCGCAGCGCACACAGCACTTAACAGTTTACAGAGCCTCTCGGAGAGGTGAGCTGAGCCCAGAGCGTCATTTGAGACGGCTGAGGCTCAGAGCAGGACAGTGCGTTCCTCAAGGTCACACAGCGGAGGGTGAGGGG